ACAGCAAAGTGAGCCCTGATTCAGCAGGTGCTGTTGGCTTGGATCAAACCCTCAGCTGACCTGGCAGGCATTACTGTCTTGTCACCCAGCTCAGCTTGAGAAGAGAAGAGGAGTTGGGTAGCTTGGCTCAGCCAGCGGGACCTCTGGTGTCTTTGGCGGTTAACAGCAGTTGCAGTGTTTTCCTCCACACCTTCCCACCCCCCTCCCACTTTGTAGATGTCTGTGTTTTCCCTAGGAAATTTGATACTTGTATTTTCAAGGAAAGAACCTCTTTTTCTTCATTCTGCCTTTCAAAAACAGTGTGTGTCTTATTTGGGTTGTGTTGTATGCAAGAAAATACAGTATGCTGCAGCATTTTCAAGGCAGGGGCAGTCTTATTTTAATCTCTGATTAGTTCTGAAAAGTCATGTTTTTATGTAAATGTTCATAAAGTAGAATTGTGGTGTTTTTTTAAATACATCTTGTAAATATATATGTAATCTTTATTGTAGACATGGCAAATATGTACACCCTTCTTCGAGCTGTGTCAAGTGGTTTACCTCATATGATTCAGGAACTACAAAACCATATCCATGATGAGGGCCTTAGAGCAACCAGCAATCTTTCTCAGGAAAATGTGAGTTATTTAAGTAGCTAAATTAACCTATCTGATCCTTTAATTAGGAATGAACTTTTTTTCTGTAGCCTGCTTTAATGCCTGTAAACCAGAAATTGTAATAGAGATATCAATTGTAATAGAGATAGCACTGTCATTATCTTGATTACAAAATGCTTTTTCATTAATCCCGTTTATATGAAAAAGATTTCAGTATGTTGTACACAAACTGTGGCTTCTGACAAGCAGTCTTAGCTATACAGTGCTTTGGTTCATAGAAGCTAAACTTCTGGAATTTCTTCTGGTTGAACCAAATTGAGGTTTTTGTCTGACTTTGTAAAGTCAGCATGACAAAAAACGTTCCGTCAGTGAGTATATTAAAAGGTATGTTTTTGTTCAGTTTTGGTCTGGTCAGCAGCCAGTTCACTGTTTGGGGTATATTAGGAACCAAGAATATTACTTAGTTTAATGATACGTTATTTATTTGGAAACATGAGCATCCTGTGCTGGTTTCAGTGTAGCATTTTTTTATTAGTTGCTTCACAATTGTATGCTAGCATCAGAATTTCTGAGACTACTTTCTACTCAAGTGTTCTATTAAGGGTTTTTTTTTTCCTTAAACCTGATTTAATTTGTTCAGGTTTCATTGAATTGCTTACATTATAATTCCACTTACGGAATGCGCCTTTGGCACTTCTGTTCTATTAAAGCAGGACTTGCACCTGTATTTCTCTATGCTAGTGATGCTCAACCTTTTTGTGTTGAGGGCTAGATGGGCAGTGCCCAGTCCCTCTGTGGGCCAGATCCAGCTGCTGGACCCAGTCTGGTACCCAGTTCCTTCCTGTTTTTTATCATCATTTGAGGAAAATATGGTAAATATGGTTTACCGTATTTTCTCACATATAACAATTTTCCAGACATCAACTTCTGGAAATTGGAGTGCCCATGTTAAGTGAGGAAATATAGTAATAACAGCTTCTGCACCATGTGCCTTGCCAGGGGAAAGAGGAAGTAATGCTGCATGTGTTGCACAGGGGCAGCATAGTGAGCACATGGGGTTCCCTACCTGCTGGCTGTGTAACTCCTGAATAAGTAGAACTTTTAAGTGTTTAAGTTGTACGTGGTGGGTCCCTATCCAGCCACACAAAGTGGGGCAGCCTGGCCCTGTTTCAGCCGCATGGGGACAAGGGATCTAGCCTAGCCCTGTAGGAGGGCGGGGGTGTTGCCCAGCCCTGCGAGGGTAGAAGAAGGTAGGGCCACACAGGGGAATGTGGCACGGCCTGGCTGCATGGGGAGAAGAGGGAGTAGCCCAACCCAATCCAGCTGTGCCAGGAAAGGTGGCTTGGACTGGTCCTAATTTGGCCATGTGGGGGTGAGGGTTGTGACCTGGCTTTGATCTGCCGTACTGAGTTTGGGATTTTGGCAGCAGGGATGGGTGGTGACAGTATTAACTGCCACTTCTCTCCTGCTGCCAAATTTCCCAACTTTTGGGGAGCCCTGTGGGCCAGATGCTAAGGCTCTGCAGGCTACGTTTGGCCTGGGGGCTGTTCTATACACACATTTGGACCCAGGGGCCCATTTGGCCCTACTCTGTACATACATTTGTACTACACTTTTCTCAACTTGACATCTTGATCTGATGGAGGACAGTTCCTGCAGTCCTTTAATTAGAACTCCTGGTCCATATTTCTCAGATCTTGTCATTACAGGGAATTATTACTCTGTAAAGGGGTCTAGGTTGTAGCCTTGTTGATCTGAAGGACATAGGCAGACAAGGTTCTTTGGATAAATCTGATATCTTTTCTTAGACCAACTCAAATAGTTGGAAAAATTCTTCTTTCAAGCTTTGCAAAGATTTTTTCCAACTATTTTGAATTGGTCTAATAACAGATTTCAGATTTACCCAAAGAACCTTGTTTACTCTGTAAAAGCATACTGTGGCTTACTGTACAGTAATTTCCTCATGTATATAAAATCAAAAGATTCATGCAGGTGTTTTGCACTCCCACAAGAGTCAATACGCAGATACAAACTTCAAGAAGACATAAAAGTTGCTTCCTTTAGTAACTGTTGTACCTCATGAATTTTGCATTTGACATCACGTTAAACTTTTCTGAAAGTACTGTATAGGAATTTGAGAGTATAGAGGAAACATTTGGATAGTTGAGAACCTCGTAGGTACTTAAACTTAATTTTGGAAATGTGTTGAATGGGGAGGGGAGCTTAAGAACATCTCATTTCCAAAACATGCTCAAAAAGCAGCAGTTTTACAGGGTGCATATCTTTAGATTGAAATAGCACTCTTAAGACCTAGTTATTAGTAGTTTTTTTAAATAGTGGAGAAACTTGTAAAAATGTGTATACATATAAACATTTCTATATAAATATTGCATTTTCAGTTGTATGCTTTCTGTATTTTATACCTTCTAGATGCCAACTCAGTTTGTGGAGTCAGTTTTGGAAGTACACAGTAAATTTGTTCAGCTCATCAACACTGTTCTGAATGGTGATCAACATTTTATGAGTGCCCTTGATAAGGTAACATTGCATAGTGAAACAAAAACAATACACTCCAAAATGTATCATCCTTTTTTTCATCTGAGTGTAATAGAGTTTGTTTAGTAATAAAATACCACACTTAAACCTCAGATCGATGGAGTTCTAGTTGCATTAAAACAAAACAAAAAAATCCAGAAATTTAAGTACTCACAAAAAGGTATGTATGAAGGAAAACATTATTTTAACCAGCCTTTAGTGGGTTGGGGATTACTCAGCTCAGTCCCTTATTTTCCTGGGCACTCTTACCTCACAGGAAACACCACAAACATAAATCTTCAAATCAGTGAACAAACATAAGCCAGGGATAACTTGCAATCCTGGGCCTTCTTCCAGACCCTGATAAGGTGACTCTGGCTCTTTGCTGCTCTCTCAGCACCACAGCCTTCCTTCTCTCCCTCTGGACTGAGTTCCCTCGTGTGATACTTCTGCTTCCAGCTTCACAGCCCTTGATTCTTTTCCCAGACCCAGAGAAAATGCCCTGGCCCAGTTTTGCAGCCACTGGCCTGACAACTCTCCCTCCCTGTCCCTATTCTTGTACCTCTCCCTCTGGGAGCTTTTTAACTCCATCCAGTTATCATGGTCAGCTAGCCCAGTCCCTTGAGGCAGGCTTGCAATTACTCTGTGTCTGTTTTCAGCTGTGTAGCCCCCGAGGCATGCAGCCTGCTACACAGCCATTATTGTTAAAACTCAGACTGTAAAAGGGACTTTCTCCTCATCAAATACGTTTTTGCAGATTTTAAAATGAAAATGGGCCACACATCTTTAACTCATGTTAATAAGACATAACTAAAAATAATGCATTCTCTAGACATACAAAAATCTAGAACTCTTCGTTCCAAAATTATACCTTTTATTAGACCAACTGGAAAATCACAACTCCATCTACTAAGCAACTTCTAAGTAAGATCATAGTTACTTTTATTCTTGGTAATAATGAATTAAACTCTGATCACGGAAGTTGTCATGTACATTGTGAACTTACATTAATTTCGTTAGCTGGAGGTTATTTTATTATTTAGATTTTTCCTGAAAGTGTCTCCTATTTTCAGTTGATCATCGTGGTGATGGCCCTGTTGTGCTTACTTAACCTTTACAGTAGAGAACTGTTTTTCGAATCAAATAAGCATCTTTT